GAGAGAGAGAGAGTGGGAGAGAGACTGTGCATTGCGGTGATTGGGAGACGGGGAGAGTTGTACAGGGGGGATGTTGTTAAGCACGTTGACGTTGACGAGCGCCGATGGTCTTTAGGTTGGCGTACACCTTGCCGGGGGGGCTACCTCTGATGAGGGCGACGACGGCGTCTCTGGCGATTTTGATGTTGGCAAAGTTGCCTAGGATGTGGATCTTTGTATCTGCAATCACCAGTCTTGTCCTCGAGGCGTTTTCGATCGCAAATCTGGTCCTTCCATCTTTGCCTGCGATTCGACCGATGGCACGGGAGAGGTTGTCGCCCTGGAGCGTTTTGACGTCTTTGATTTCGAACGTATCGATGAAGAGGTCGTCCATCCTCAGCAGGGCAATTGCGTCGTCGGCGTCGAATCCGAGTGCGAAAGCCTTGACGAAATCGGCGCCCTTTTGAAGCATGCCCTGTTCGGTGGTGTATCGTGATGATTTGAGTTCGACGCACTTCTTGCCGACGTTCATTCGTACTTGGAGCGAAGCCATCTCGACGAGGGGCGTGTAGATCTTGTGCCACTCGTTCTTCAGTGGCGTCAAGCGGTGAGGAGGGATGGGGATCTTGCGAAGCTGTCCCTTGGCAACAGCCGTGAGTGATGCAGACCCGAGCGGCTTGAACGACGGCTTCGACTCCTCGGTCGATGCAGAAGGCGTGGCGGGCGGAGCGGTCGAGGTACCGATCATAAGCTCGTCATCCTCATCCATAGCTGGAGCAGTAGCAAACGTTTCGTCGCCAAGATCGACGTCCGAGTCATCGTCACCTTCCTGGCCGAACGGCTTGCTGTGCTTCAGAACCACATCCTCGTCCGCGGCCGCCGGCTTGCTGGGTGTACCAACCAGCCCGGCCTTTGCAGACGCCTTCTTGGGTCGACTCGTGCTGCCCGATGCCCCAGCCTGCTTGCTTGGTGTAGCCACCATTGTGCGTTATTCCCGGTCGAGTTTCGTAGATGTCGAGATGGTTAGGGCCGATTGCGGCTGTTTGCGATGCTTTCGAGGTGTTTGTAGAGCTGATGGATGTGGTGGAGAAGCAGGCTCAGCTTGGCCCTGTCCCAGAAAAACTTCCCCCGAGGCACACGGCCACGCGCCACCACTTTTTTCTGCTGCATCTCAAAATTTCACTGAACCCGTCTTTTGCAAAATTTCAGCTTGTTAAGCCTCGCCCTCGCCTCCGACTCCACCGTCTCAGTGTCTCCCTTGCCTTGCCCGACCATTCAAGACACACTGCACACCACATCGTACGCCAAAGACATGCACGCCAAAGTTGTGGAAAGCCAAATCGAATTGACACGAAACAAGGGGTGGGTGATCAACCCAACGCAAGCGAAAACGACAAGGGTGCACAACGGGCAGATGCGACGCACAAGAAAGGGGTGTGGAGCGAGAGCAAGTGCGAGCGAGCAACTTTTGCGGCCTCCTCAAACATCGCAGGAAAACAAATATAAACAGTAAGAGGGGGAGCGGGAGGGGGAAGCTGGGGACGAATTAGGATATGGTACAACGGATCTGGAACAAACGAAAACAAACGACAAAGGAGCCAGCCCTACAAACTGACGCTATTGACGACAGCTCCCCCCTCTTTCTTCACTCGATCGAGGAAAGAAGCCCGCTCTGCTGCCGCCTAGGCACTTTCTTGTGGGGCCGTGCCCAGCAAAAAAAAAAAA